TTCCAAAATCAGTTGAGGTCAATTGATCTTAAAGGCAATAACACCCCGAGTCAAATCATTAGATGTTAAAAATCGAACAAAGTTTCACAAATGAAGGCATTGCATGTTGCACTAGCATCTTGGTTTTTATCATGGTAAACAATAATTTGAAGAAAAAAATGTGAAGAAGAGAGAAAAAAAATAAAACTCGAAATTGTAACTCTGAAAAATTATCCCACAAACTGTTTTTTTCATTTCATTTTACTTAATTAATAACATAAAATTTTAATGACAGTCGATAATTCTTAATTGGTCATCATTTAAGATACGTAATATTTTTTTTAATAAAGTTTGACTTTGGAGCAAAGTGTGTAATGAAAATTAAGTTAAGGTATTAGATCCAAGTTTTTAATTTTTTAGATGCCAATATAACAAAAAAATATAAAATATATGAATCATTTTGTATTTAATTCAAATTAATTCAAATTTAAATGATCTGAAATAAAACAAAATTTTATTGATTCAACTTTAAAATTCAATAATTTAAAACTATAATGACTCGAATGCGATGATCTCACCTCAAATAATTTTAATGTGAAATTTAAAATGATCTAAATCTAAAAGACCTAAGTTTTCTTTGGTCCAAAATGAATAAGCTCAAAATCCGAACCTGCGCATTTGTTATCTCTTCTTATTATATAACCAGTTAAATCCACCGGGCTTATCACGTTGTAAGGCCATCCTTGTATTTTGGGCCCTTGCCCCTCAGCCATTTTGGACAGGCTCACACCTGCCCCAGTTACCCCATATCCACCTCCAATGGTTGAGATGATATCTTTTCTTCCAACATTGAAATAGCAGATATGACATCTATCTTCCTCCATCGGTTACATTAGTATATTTATGATTTTCACCTGCTAAATTTGGCAGAAAGAGTAAAGACTAAAGACAAGAGTTTAAATAAGTTATGGCTTGCTCTTCTCCTTTTCTTTCTGCAATCCGACAGCGCCTCTCTGTTACCTGGAAACCCTCTCTACCTCACTGTAAGTGCTCTCTTTGTCTTCATATGCTTAGTTATATATATGAAGTAAGTAAAGGATTGAAGCTATGGGTTGTTTAGAGCTCTGCATTACTTGCCATTTCCTTTCATGGGAATTTAAGTTTGCCCTTTGCAATGTTTTCTTCACTACTTATTTATCTGATGAATGATGGTAGTTTCTCTTGGAATTTTATGTTCATTGGTTGTTTTGTATTGTACATTCCCGCTACAGACATTCTGAGACTTCAGAGTTTTAGATAGTAAAATTCTTTCCATTTTAGGTCAATTTCAGAAAGATTCCTTGTCCCTTTATTTTAATATTTAGAAAGAGCAATAGTTGGGGACCTCTTTTATTTGAATTTGCTAAGTATTGTAAGATACTCGAGCATTTGAATCTTGAATGTAATTCATCTTTCTCAAAAGAATCCATTAAAAGTTGGGGCACAAATGATTTTTCAATAAATTAGGTTGCTTCATGATGGTTTTGCATGAATCTTCTTGTGAAATTTCAATGATTTAATGTGGATTTGAAAGATGGCTCCATTCTTTGCAACTGATATTGGGATATATTGTAAAAGTAATTTCATAATGTGGACATTTTTCATTGAACTCGGAGATCATGTGAAACAATTTATTTGAAGGGAAATCCATAAGCTGGATTTATCCATTCATATTGGATTTTTTTTATGAGCATTGAATTTGATGTGGTAGGGTTGTTGTCAAAACCTGTATTTCTGTTTTTCTGAATATTTTTAATGATACAACAAATATTTTAATCTCTGCCCTTCTTTGCTTTAAATGGAAATGAACTCAAGGTCGGTTGGAGTTCAGGTAAGATCCAGTTTGGAAAATGAGAGCTTTGCTCCAGGAGTTTCAAATGATTCATTCGAACCTATTAAGAAGAAGGTTTCACTTGTTCTCTTCCAACATCTAATTTGTTATTAGTCTTTAAAGTCAACGCAGCATCTTTCATTTATGTCAAAAAACCCAAAGAGTCCTAAAGCCTTTTTGTACTGCAGATTAGTACTTGATTGTGTTAAAACTTCATTATTTCCAAAGAACTTTATAGTCTTAATTTTAGGTTCCATTTTTTGCTGCAGGGAGCCCATGTATCAACATAACGGCATTTGTGTCTTACGTGTTTATGTTCAAGTCTAGCTTTGATCAACAGTTATGGCACCTCTGTTTCTGTAGCATATGCAATGGGTATGGACGGGAACAAAAGGGCTGCATGCTAGAATTGTGGGGGGAGTGGTGCTGTACTTTGTGAGTGTCGCTTTATGCAATTTTTTTTCACGCTTATTTTCATTACTTTGATGGATGTTGTAATCAAGTGAACCACACATGCATGCATCTTATAATCTTTTTTGAGGTTATCACTATCCTTTCAAAAGGAAAAAAAATTTATAAACTCTAGATTATGTTTTACTGACTGCTTGCCTCATACAACCGAAGGATAACTCTTAACTAATGCAAGAGTCCTGGCACCGATTATTGATTTGTATGCAATAGATAATAGACTCCTAACAAATTTGTTAGACTGGTTTATTTTGTTCATTGTCCCACAGGAAGAAGTTGTGGTTTTTTCATGTATTGTCTTTACTACATGGCTGGCAGCTATGGGCCCATTTTTTTTTTTTTCTCAAATTCTTTGGACATTTTAGGAAAGTGCTTGTTGAATATGAAGATTTTGGCTCAATATTAGTGCTTAAAGAGCCCAAAACCTTCTTGTAATTATTCATGACATTGAACTGTGTCTTCTGTTCTTTGACATGATAACTTTTTCTTTCTATCCATGTTCCAAAGAAAGAACAAAGCACTTGTGAAGTTAACCGTTAAGAATCTTGTGTGATTGTTGATCCTAATTTTGATTTGGGAGATGTTAATTTGCTCTTTATTTAGGCGATATGTGTGGTGGTACAGGAAAATGGAAAGCTCTAAACAGGAAACATGCTAAGGATGTATATGAATTTACAGAATGTCCAAACTGTTATACCCTTCAGCTACTAGTATTCTTTAGTTGCTATATCAACAAAATAAATCCTACATAGTTTTTCTTGTTTTGAATTGCTATTTCACTTTCCCTGAGCATGCACTATTCTGAAGATTATTCCAAATTATGGTTGATTGCCTTGGGATATTTTTAAACTTCTTGTAGATTGTATCATTATTTTTTTGCTTTCAAGACGATGGTAAATTATAAATAAGAGGTCATGTCAATAACTCAGAATATAAATGGAATTGCATTTCTTATGATACTTGACAATGTTTGAGCTGAATGCTCACCTTCCCTGATCTATTTACTGTTACAGTAGAAACATTGGTTCCAAACACTGCATGTAGTGGCTAAATGTTGATTAGTAATTGGGCAATTCTATTTAGAGTATACATGTGGTTGCATAGTAAAGAATTAATGTCTTGTTTTATGTTTAGTCATATATTGAATGTGTAACTTTAGATTCTAAACTGTTACAAAGGTTTCTTCTATTTAGTTATTTTCTTTTCCAAAGTGTAAACACGCAATGTTTTTTGACAGGTGATCACTAGCTGCTGCTGTGACTAGGTCGTGGGAAACTGATCTGTTGGGTTTGTCTGGGTACTGATTTACCAAATAATAAAGGTCTTCTAAGGGGGCCTGATGCAAGGAAATTACTTGACAAGATGTACAATGGTCGACTTTTGCCAAGTTCTTAATTTAGTCCTTTTACTTTGTAAGTAGACCCGTCATGCCCTTGGCCGTAGCTGTTGTTGATGTTGGCATCATGATAATTTAGTTTAGAGCAATAATAGGTTACTTCAGCAAAACTGCAAAAATATTTCCAAAGCAAAATTAATAGAATGTGGTTTTGTTTTTACTGTACAATTTAGACAGATGGTTTCTTTTATTTTGATCTTTATCTGGCAGTTGGGAACTTTGATGCAATTTTTTGTTGACAAGATGAATGAAAGCCAGAGACAGTATATACAGTGATTGTTAATCCAAGCACCACGACACGATTGAGAAATTTTTACTCTGGAGAATAGCTATAAAAGCGTATAAAATTTTGATTGTCAACAACTACAATTTATTCTCTTTTTGTTCAATATGGAGAGGATCACTGAGTACTTTGTTAGAATTTTTTTGGACATCTTTGTTGCATTTGAAAGGTGATTGATGTTTAATTTGAAACCGTAAATGTAATTATTAAGTTCAACTAGTTAGGTTGCTAAGCATGATCAAGCAATATGCTCAAGTGTATAACATTTTTGAAGTTGTTCTTGACAAGTGGAAAGCATTTGTAGACTTATTCTGAGCACATTTTAGTGCAACTTTGGAATTGAATGTATCCCAAATGCCGTTTGGGATTGAAGATGGAGAAAGGTTTTGGGAGTCAAATATCAGCCAAACCAAGCTAAGTTTTAGCATCCAACGTCTCTCTCTCTTCTACTTTGGCCTCTGTGGTTCTAACCTTTGACTTGTCGCAATTAATTCTATCCAAAACTGTTTTTGAGCAAAAAAAAAAAAAAAAAAAATTATCATGATCAAGCTTTTTTCTTTTTTTTTTTTTTTTTTCATTTAATTGACGAAGCAAACACCAATTTTTTTTTTTTTGTCATCAGAGTGTGCTCTGTTTTCTTCCCCAATGTCTGTCAATCTTTCGAAAGGGTTAATTTCAAAAGGATTAATATTAAGATTGGCTTTTGAGCTATTATGAATATTATGAATTTAATGTAATATTTATAATAAAATATTTAATGTAATATTTGAATTTAAAAAATTTTTAATATGATACTTAAATTATGAATCTATTTACGAATATGATATCTATTTTTAACGTAATTAATTTCAAATGATAATACATAATAAAAAAACAAATTTTTTAGTATCATGTTAATAAATATAATCATAATCCGTGTATTATATTAAAAATTTTTAAAGTTTAAATATCAATTGAATACTTTATTATAACTCAAAAGTCATTTATAATATTATTGCCTTTCAAAACCTACACCATTAACAACCATGAAATAATATAAGATTAATATAATGCCAAATTTGATCTTAAACTACCATTATTGGAGGTTGAAGTATTCCATTTAAGAGTTATTTTCCCACATTCAACAACCATAAATTTAGTGGAACTAAGCCTAGAAAGCTTATCATTGCTTAATTTTCATTTGGTTGAACTACGGTGTCTACCCTGTACCAAAATGCAACAGAATTAAAGCCAAAATTTGTTAATCTTTGACAGAAGAATCATAAGAAAAATGAAAGGCCAAGTTTCATCACTTTAAAAACATTCATATAATGTATTCCTGACCACTAGTTTGTTTCCTAACCTTACTGCCAATACATGATAATCCTGGAGGAAGAAACCACAAACATCTGAAGGACAGATTTTCTGTATTTACAATGGCATAAGGTACCAATCAATCAAGGCTAACTTCTGGGTAGCCGGCTGACAACAGAGTGCTCTGGTTTGTGTTCACATTCAAAGTCAAGATGAACAAATGCCCGTTCAACTTCTGCAAGTTTCTCAATCCTTATCTGCAAGGTCTCTCCAATGGTGTGTGCTTCTTTCAAAGGCAAATCTTCAGGGAGTTCAATGTCCACCTGTATAAAGATGACAAGGTTTTTAAAGCAGTTTGTACTGTGAAGGCGATATCATACAGCATATCTGCATATTGTTTGACAAGACAACGGGAAAAATATTAAAAAAAAAAAAACCCGCGTTGGCAGATCAGTTAAATTTTTTCTTTAGTACTTGTCTTCTGGTTTGAGATTTATTCATCACATGATTTTGTAAGTAAGAATTCCTATTTGATGGAAAATTTCTTAAACATAAAGTCTGAAATCATCACATTCCAATGCACTAAAGTGCAGTTGTGCTCCAGGGGCTCAATTTCTACTTTGGGCAAGAGACAGACAGCTTTGAGGCTATAAGTCAAGAAAATAACTTTCAGAATTCAGTATGACCAACAAGTTATGTTCCAGACTGCTTCATCTTTTTACCATCATAAAAGGCTGAATTGCATAAAACTGACCTCTACAAAATAAAGAACACCGAATGTGTAAGCTCGGACTGTGTCAATATGCTTGACTTGAGGGTGTCTGATGACAAGATATGTTAATTTTTGTAGAAACTCAGGAGGAGCTGATTGTCCCACTAGAGAAACTGCATCAAGCGACCTCATATTCAGTAAGTTGTATGCATTAATGGTTAATGGTGTGCGAATATGATATACATTATACTTACAACCTTAATGTAACATGATAGCACACTGACAGGATCATTTCATTTAATTTTTTTAAAGTTTGTTCCTCAGCCTTGATCCCATGCCCATAAATGCATCCTCGCAATAGGCACAGAATGGAATGCATTACTGATTTCATTTGTTAGCTCTCATCATTAGATTGAGAAACTGGCAGTTTCCAATTCAATGACTCAATTAATAACTGGGGAAGTGAGAGCATATTTCGGTAGTTTGATTCTCCTATCTGCCATCCCTCTCATTCACGGACAGGTCATATTTCTAGTCTATGAGCATGGAAAAGTTTTCTACCAAAATAAAAAAACCAGAATCTATTCAACCTCTTTTCTAGAGTATGTATTGTCAAAATTATCAGAATCTATCAAACCTTAATAGTTCAATAATGACCACAATGAGAAATCTTTGGTTGGCTCCTCAAGAACCATCAGATGAGTTGCTATTAAGGTAAAGAAATAGTTTGCCATTCTTCATTTTCTCCTGCTTTCTCAAAATCTTAACTCAAATGATCATATATGAGAAATCCTGTTATAAAAAGCTTACCTGCATTTTCGATAACCGTTCCTGACCAATTTGATATAGTGTAAATTGCAAGGGCAATAGCACCAGCAGGATCAATCCACCAGTAAAGTTTATCAGCAAGAACAGCTGCAAGTAGTCCTACTACATTTGTTACCACATCGAAGTAGTGATCCTAGGAATCGGCATTTGAAGTGTTATGAAATTGCCAAGCACAAGCAAAGTAACAATAAAGAAATCCTCAAAGAAAAAAAAAATAGAGCAGAAACCTTTGCATAAGCCCGGACTATCTTGTTTGATGAGTTTTTGCAGTAAATCCAGAGGCCAAGTTTTACCACAGTAGCAGACAGCATGATGGTGAACAACCACACTAATTGATCTGAGGACATTTTTTCTGAAGGTTTATCTTCTATTAGCTGCTCTATAGCCTGGACCAACACTTGAAAGCCTGTAAGAATATGTGAGATTACAGAAAATTCATTGATATAAAAGGATGCACACCACATATGGAGGATCCACAAGTTTGTTTCTATCTGAAAAAGTGAACCTCTTTGATTATTTACTTTTATGGGATGTAATGCCCCTTGCAAACATGTGTGCATTGTAGACCATATGATATATATATATATATGTATGTATGTATGTATGTATGTATGTATTCTGATGCTTTCATTTTCCTTTCAGTTTTATTCATGGTTCCATAATAGAATGTACCTAGCAACCCCAGTCCAAAACTAAGGCAGATTCCAGTCCAGATCATTTAAGTATCGTGCAAAGGAATATTGAAGAGGTCAAGTTGAAAATGCATCTTCTTCTTGACCAAATTAGTTACTTTTCATTATTTAAAAACTATTAATGTTGTTTTTCTCATAGTTCCTAACTGAGTAGATAGTAATCATAATTCCCTTCAAAAGTGAAAATAACAACAAAAAGATAAATGACCATGAGAGAAATGAACTTGAAGCAAATGTTCCAATTATTGCTTTGCAGAGAATCCAGATTGGACAGCCCCAATAGTTCATCTGAGCAAGAAGGCCTCCTTAAAATGAGATTTGTGCAGTTATTCACTAAATTTCAAGTAGATAAAGTACTAAAACAGGGCAACCCTTAGGACTTCATGAAAAGAGGCAATGTGATATGGCACGTATCATCCTTAGCTAGATGAATTTCTGATTGAGATCTAATGATGCCAATTAAGCCTAAGCGCTAATTAAGATAATGAATAGAATAATGGTGTTTGCATACCTAATTACTGATCCTTTAATATTGAAAGGACACCCAGCTAAAATAGAAACAAATTTGGAAGGAACGTAAGTTACATTTATCTTCATGATGTGTTTTATAATATGCATGCTTTAATACAACATTAAACAGAAAGGAGAAGAGGAGTTTGCCACCTTTATCTTTCCTTTTGAAATAATAGGCAATGGTAAGAAAAATACACGAAAACAGAGGTAAAAGTGGTAATAAACACATGTATAGACACAAGCACGCATTTTCTGGATATTTAGGCATATGTAGAGTATGACCAAGTTGCAAAACTTCCAAAAGTTTTGAGAAACTTTTATGTGTTCTGGACTAGTAATGGGAGGATAATCATGGTTAGAATAAGAAAAATATAACATGAAATTCAGCCTGAAATAAGATGTATGCTACCAGATCATATGACGAAGGAGCTCAAAAGTTGGGAAAAAAATAGTCATAGTGCAAAGGAAAAATCAAGGGAGACTATGGACAGTGTAAAGGCATAGACAACTTTGACAAAATTAAGCTAGCAACAACCAGGGGACATACCTAGTGTAGCCATCACTGCAGCAAAGATGATTATGCCCACTGGCTGTATCCTTAATTTTCCGATTGGATACTTATAGATGTTTATGTTTTTCATTGACAAGTGAGTGAACCAAAGTATGCCGCCAGCCATGAGATCAAGTAAAGAATCTAATGTTGATGCTGCAACGGCTATGGATCCACTCTTTATTGTAACATAGATCTGCAATACACTAATTGTTATTTTCACAGCTGAAGCACAAGGAATGAGTGACATTCACAACTATATAGTTGAAGCCAAATTCTTCAACTAGATGTGTTTGATCTTGAAACATGTTAAAATTCTTCATAAAAAAGAAAAGTTACCTTAAATGCCAGCAACACAATATTTGCATAATTAGAAATCTGCATGGCTCTTTCATGTTGGGCCAGCTCTTCGTCTTCATCATCTTCGCCATCAATGCTCTCAGAGGATGCATCCAAAGCATCAACTTCTTCAAAGGATTTCATGGTCTGAAATTGTGTTTCATAGTATTCTTTTTCACCTATGAAAAAAAGAACAGTTGAATGTTATAATAAAAGTCCAATTGCAATAAAGTTTTCGAGCTAGAAATTTCTTTCGTCCACCAACATTTTCTTAGAAACCAAACATGAAAACTAAAAGGCAGAAAGAAGAGGCATTTTCCAGTTCTTCCCACATAGAGAGAAAAAGAGAGAGAGAGAGAGAGAGAGAGAGAGAGAGAAAGAGAGAGAGACCTTGAGTTAAGCCTTTGGATTTGGAGACATCAATGAGAAAAGGGGACCCAGGTTCCAGACAAGAGCGAACCTTGTCAGGCAACCGCGACACGAACTCATTCTTCAGTGACTTCACCGAGTTACGCCTGCTTAACCGCCCACCTCTCTCGCTCTCACTGTTCATCAGCAAAGCCGTCCTCACACCAGAACTCGACTCACTCTCCATTTCTGGGATCCACCTCTGCTGTGCTACCCGAATCCTGTCTTTTCTTCAAAGAGATGACACTGTACCACGTTTCACCATTAAAACAACAAAGAATTTGATTGTCCCTTAAACCCTAACAGACGCAATTTTAGTTCTAAGTTTCTAACTGATCTCTTTTCGTTTGTAAAAACCGTCTTTGTCATCGTGTACTGGAATTTCTTTCTTTCAATGGGTAGTTTGCGTTGGCAAAAATAGTAAGTCAGGTTGTTGTGAAGCACAGGAGTCAGTTTGTCAAATTCAGTAGGCAAAAAGGAATAAATAATCTACAGTAGGTGAGCTGTCACATGCTTCTTTGAACACTGGCCATCAAGTCAATTTCAACCGTTGACATGTTGGACAGCAAAGCAGCATAATTAGTAACCGGGTTTAGCGACCGGGTTTTGTACGTTAGGGATATTTACGGGGACTTCTATAGAAAGTTTTGTGGTCTTATAATAAGATTAGAAAATAATAAGTATTAGATTTATATAATTAAATATTAATTATTGATTAAATTTTAAGTAGAGAAGGGTAAAATTTTTTTATCAAATAATGAGATTGTAAAATAAAATTTATAAAATTCTATACATAATTTACATAAATTTTACTTTATATAATAGTTTTTTATTTTTCACTTTATTATATGTTTATGAAATTACTTAAAAATAAAAAAATAATAATTAAAAATATTCCTTTTAAAAAAATTTTTAATGTAATTGTTATCTCTGAAAATAGCTAAAAAATATTATAAAAAATAATTCTAAAAAAATAAAAAATATTAATATAAAAATTTTTTCAAAGAAAAAAATTAACTTAAAAGAATTTATGTTTTAAATAAAAAAAATTATTAACATAATCAAATGAGAGAAATAATAAAATTTAAATCAATTTATATGAAATGATATAGAAGTGACATGCTAAAAAATGAGTTATAAAAATTTTAAACATAATTAAATATAAAAATAAGCATTAGAAGAATTATTTTAATGTAAATAATTAAGTTAACAATGTAAAATTTAAATTAATTATTTTTCTTATAAATATATAAAAAATAGTTAAAAATACATTCAAGGATAAAAGTTAACGTAAGAGAAATGATATTTAAAAAATTTTAATAAAAAATTTATTAACATAAGTTTGTGAGAGAAATTGTGAAATTTGTATCGTTTTATATAAAATATGTTAGAAGTATCATAATATCTAAGAAATAATTATAATAATTCTAAACTTAATAAAAGATAAAAATAATCATAAAAAACTATTATTAAAATGTAAATATAATGTAAAATTTTAATTGATTATTATTCTTATAAATATATAAAAAATATATCTAATAAAAAAAAAGATAACATGAATAAGTGAGAAAAAACGTAACATCCATATCATTTGACATAAAATAGATAAGAAGTGTCATAACACATTAAGAAAGAATTATAACAATACTAAAATATATTATTATAACGTAAATAATTATGATGGTAATATAAAATTTTAATTAACTATTGTTTTTGTGTGTGTGTGTGTGTATATATATATATATATATATATATATATAGAAAATAGCCATAGATTAAAAAATAAATTGATAACATAAACAAAAAGAAACGTAAAATTAGTGACATTTAGTGTAAAATAAGTAAAAAGTCTTGTAATACATTAAAAAAGAGTTATGATAATTCTAAACATAATGAAAGATAAAGTAACTATAAGAATATATAATTTTTATGTAAATAATTATGTTGGCAATATAAAATTTTAACTAATTATTATTTTTTAAATATATAAAAAAATAGCTAAAAATTGAAAAAAAAAAAAAACAATGTAAAATGTGTATCATTTGGTATAAAACAAAAAAAAGTGTCATAATGCACTAAGAAATAGCTATTATAATTCTAAATGTAATTAAAGATACGAATAATCATAAAAGCAAATTATTATAACGTAAATAATTAAGTTGTCAATATAAAATGTTAATTATTCATTTTTTTAAACATATAAGAAAAGTATCTAAAAATTTAAAACCATATTGGTAACATAAACAAGTGAGAAAAAACATAAAATTAGTATCATTTAACAACAAATGGGTATGAATTGCCATAATATATTAAAAAGTGTTATGATAATTCTAAATATAATGAAAAGTAAGAATAGCCATAATAATCTACTATTGTAACATAAATAATTATATTGGCAACGTAAGATTTTAATTAATTATTGTTTTGTAAATATTTAAAGAAAATAGCTAAAAATTTAAAAATAAATTATAAAATACACAAGTGAGAACAAATGTAAAATTAGTATCATTTTGCGTAAAATAAATAAGAAGTATCGTAACACATTAAGAAAGAATTATGACCATTCTAAATGTAATGAAAAAATAACCGTAAGCAGATATTATTATAAAATAAATAATTATGTTGACATTGTAAAATTTTAATTAATTATTGTTTTTGTAAATATAAAAGAAAACTAGTTAAAAATTAAAAACCAAAAACAAATTGATTTTGTAAATAAGTGAGAAAACGTAAAATTAGTATCATTTGATGTAAAATGGGTAAGAAGTGTCGTAAAGCACTAAACAAGAGCTATGATAATTCTAAACATAATGAAAAGTAAAAACAATCATAAACATATATTGTTATAATATAAATAATTATCATAGTAATGTAAAATTTTAATTAATTATTGTTTTTGTATATATATAAAGAAAATAACTAAAAATTAAAAAATAAATTAATAATGTAAATAAGTGAGAAAAAACATAAAATTAGTATTTTTTGGTGTAAAATGGGTAAGAATTGTCATAACACACAAAAAGAATTATGACAATTTTAAACATAATGAAAGATAAAAACAACCATAAGAATATATTATTGTAATATAAATAATTATGTTGGCAATTTAAAATTTTAACTAATTATTACTTTTTTAATATATAAGGAAAATAACTAAAAATTAAAAAATAAATAGATAACATAAAAAAGTGAAAAAATGTAAAATTAATATAATTTGACATAACATAAGTAAAAAGTATCGTAACATACTAAGACAAAGCAATGACAATTCTAAACAAAATTAATGGTAAGAACAATTATAAAAAAATTATTATAATGTAAATAATTAAGTTACCATAAAAAAATTTTAATCATTTATTTTTTGTAAATATATAAAAAAAAGCTAAAAATTAAGAAACAAATTAGTAACATAAACAAGTGAGAGGAAACATAAAAGTATAATTTGGCATAAAATTGGTATGAATTGTTATAATACATTAAAAAAAGTTATGATAATTTTAAACATTATGAAAATTAAGAACAATCATAAAATATATTATTGAAACATAAATAATTATATTGGTAACATAAAAACTTTAATTAATTATTGTTTATAAACATCTAAAACAAATAACTAGAAATTAAAAAATAATTGATAATGTAAACAAATGAAAACAAACGTAAATTAATATCATTTAATGTAAAGTAAATAAAAAATTTGTTTAAGAAAGAATTATGGCAATTGTAAATATGAAAAGCAGCTCATCATTTTTATAACTTCCCAATATCATCAATAACTGTAACTTCCACAGATTTTTTGTCTAATTTAGATTGAGTCATTGGCGATTGTTGGCTACTGGATGCATTTTCCACTCCTCCAGAGTCAGAGTTTGAAAATGGAAGTCCTTTTTGCAGCAATGGTTCGAGCAATTTTTTGATGTAAGCTTGACTCTTCATCACCTTGCAGTGGATTCGTATATAGGCATATACGGTAATCATGAGCTACTAATTACAATGACATAATCATCATCAAATATTGATTACAATTATTTAGTAATAAGTATGCTGACAGTTGTTGCATATGGTAGGAACGGTCTGCCTCGTGACCATAACTCATTCTCGTGCTAACGATCTCGCCAACCTCCTTGTCGTTTTCCTTGATTCTAGAACCTGCCACCTATAGCTCTTCTGTACCAGAATCTGCTTCCATCATCTGGGTTACATCATTCTTTAAGTCAACCATTCCACTTGATTCATTTTTTATCGTACCAAACTTTTCCATTCCTTTGCTAGCTCCCACCATTTCCATTACATACAGGTGATTCAAAGAGCCAAATCATGGTTAGAACTTTTGAGTTTGTTAGGACGCTAGTGAGTTGTAAAGAGAGAAAACAATGGTCAGAGAGATAGAAAGAGGTTTAGGATTTGAGAGAGAGGACAAAGAAATGAATTAAAAAATTTTGTAGCTCTTTTTGAGTTATTGAATTTTTTTTGGATAATAAAAAATTGTATTGTAATTTGGTGCAACATGATCGTTTGAAGTGGGGGGGGGGGGGGGGGGGAAGAATAATATGCCGCATGGCATCAAAAGCCGCATGGCATCAAAAGCCACATTGGCATCGTTTTAATATGAAACCTAACAAAGAACCATACAAGTGAAGTCAATACCATATTATTTAAGTCAAAGATGTTATTCAAGTCAATGATCATGTCATAATATTTAATTGGACAAATTTAACAAAATTATCAATCAAGTTGAGATTAGTAAATTAATATAGTAATATGATTAAATTTGTATGAATTATAGTGGATAGACTAATCTCAAATATTGAATGAATCCATAGATTAATTGCATAATTTGACCTTACATATTTAGTAATAAAATTATAGTACAATTATCGATTTGATACTTAAAAATTGACTTAATTACACATTTTGCATATGAACTTTAAGAAATGTACAAATTGATATTTAAAAAAATAAAATGTACAATTTACACTTTGAACTTTTAAATAATGTACAATTTATACTCTGAAATTTCAAATTATATACCATATTAATCCAAACTCTAATCATGCTAACTATATCGAGTAATATATGTGACATTTATTTAATATTATCAAGTTATATGTTTACTATACATACTATTAACATCCTTTTTTTTCATTATAAATTAAATATATATTTTTGTCCGAACCATGAAAATTATCGAAGATTGATCAATCATTTTTGTCACATCACATGCTCATGAAGGTTATTACAAAATATTTAATAATTTGATTTAACGAATAACATGCTTATAGCAAAATTGTTCTAGTTAGATGCCACGTAGGTGAATTACTTTAACAATATTAGAATTTAAATTAAAATGATACAATATTTAAAAGTGCAAATTGTACATTTTATTTCTTTAAGTACTAATTTATATATTTTTTCAAAGTTTAGGTATAAAAAATGCAAT